ATTTGATCTGAGAGAGACAGAGGCAGAGAGAGAGAGAAAGTGAGAAAGCAAGCCACCAGGTCCAGGACTTGAACTGTGGTTGGCCATGTGGGAGTCCAGCGCCCTTAACCAACACACCACCTGCCGGCCTACCCACTTTTTAAGAAAAGAATTATTTTATTTAACTTTATCTATCTATCTATTTATTTTAATTTGACCAGAGAGGGACAGAGTATGAGAGAGAGTGAGAAAGCAAGCCGCCAGGTCCGGGATGCAAACCACAATCAGCCATGTGGGAGTCCAGCACCCTTAGCCACCATGCCACCTGCTGGCCCCATTCCCCCCCCCCCCCCTTTTTAAATTAAAACAAAACAAAACAAAAAACAACTTGTCAGCGATCTCCTGTGCTAACCAGAAAAGACAGGGCAAGAGAGGGAAAGTGAGAAAGCATCCTCCGTGAGCCATAGTCAGATTGCAACCCCCCCTCCTCTCAGGATTTTGGGAACACGTGCATATGATCAGCACATCCCTCAAAAGATGCTGGGTCCAGGACTTGAACTGATCAGCCATGTGGAATCCAGCCACCTTAACTACCAGGTCCCCAACTGGCCCAAGGCTGCCCCTTTTCAAGCTCCCTGGGAATGCATAGCTGGTCGCAAAAAAGGCAAACCAGTTTGTGAAGGAGAAAACCCTGGGTCTTCAGAGAGAAAAAGGGTTTTGACCCATCTCTTTTCCCCCAGCCTGCTTCTCAAATCAAGTTGGGGACAGACTAAAATCTACTGTCGGACAAGGCCTTGGAAGCTGCTTTGGTAGGACAGAGCCCGGGAGCTGGAGGTTCCGCTAGTAGCCAGCTGCATAGCTGAGTGAAGGGCATAGGAGTACCACCGGCCGCATGCTGCCCTCTGAGGGAGGCTGAGCTGGTGAGGGTGAAGAGGACAGTGAAGAGGACAGTGGTGTGATTGCAACGGGCTCCCCTGAAGCCTGGCACCAAGGTCATGGCGGAGAAGCCACAGAGCTGTGCAGGCCCCGTGTTCGACAGCGCCACTGTGTGGTGTGAGGGGGAATAGCTGGAGATGACTGCTCAGACTTCTCAGAGAACACTGGGGCTCAGGACATCCCTAAGGTTTTGGATTCTTTGGGAGTAGGCTCCAAGAGAGTGATGCTGGGTTTTCTGCCAAGAAGGGGTACACAAGGGACTCAAGCCATCAGTGAGAAAGGTTCAGCGTAACCTCATTTGTTCCCTGGGTGAACTCCATACTGATGACACAGTGCTGACTATGGGGCTGGGCTTAACAGGTGCGCGCCAGAAAATGGAAAGTGTTTTCATTATTAAAGGAAGCAAGACCATAAAGATTTTCTGGAATGACCTTTGTGGGCTGACTGAGCAGACTTAGATCAGCTTTGTGCAGGGCTGGGCCAGGGGCTGGCAGAGGGCAGCGCTCAGTGGTGGCATCTGGGCTGGGCCCTCTGGGCAGGCTGGCTCAAGGGGCTGGTACCCCAGCGTTTCCCCTGGTCCCTGCCTCCTTTGTGGAGTCCCCCTCCTGCTAAGGGGACAGTGCTGGGCAGGCCTCAGGGCTGGCCTGAGATCGGCTGGCCCCCCAAGCCCCAGAAGGGGGGTGGGGGG